ATAATATCTATAATAATCATAATATGCATATATGATACTAACTCAAATGGTCATTATTTGTTTAAATGTAAATACTTCTTGTTTTTATATTAATTCTATGCTACAATATTATTTTAGGAAGTAGTGATGATGAATGTTATATTATTAAGATTGTAGCGTCCCCTTTCAAAGTTACAAATGATTATTCTTTTGAATGTGAACAAAAAAGCCAAAGTTAGTAACTTTTTTATTATCTGATATTGTTATGATGTTTAACCAAGAAATATATAAATAAAAACTTTATTATTAATTTTAAACGTTTTATATTGAATAAGTCTTAGCATTTAAACGTAACTGACAAAATAACCTTTTTGGTAGGTGTGCCAACCAAAAAATTGAGTAAGCTGATTGAAAATAAAGTATTCACTCCCATTTCAGCAAACAGGCCATCATCAGGTAGGAAGTACTATTTATCAAATTTGATATAACATATACATTTTTAGTAGTCATCAATTAAGAAATTATTTTTTAATACTATAAAATTGCTTAAAATTAATTTATATTGTTTACAATATGCAAATTTGTTTTTTCTCCACAGATATGATGATGAAAATATTAAGAGTTTCTCTAAAAATTAAAGACCATGTCTTCGAAATTACTGAAAGATTAGATAAAATTGAAGACAGTTTTTCAGCTTTTCAAAATAAAAATAATAGTGCAGATCATGAAATAGAAATAGAAAATATATATTTGGACTATTTTCCTATTAAAAACGAAGAAGACTTAAATGAATTTGAAAGAAAATTAAGTGAAAGAACATTTAGATCAAGTGTTGTAAGTTAATCTTAATATATAGTTTAATAAACATAATATTGTACCTTAATGTTTTTTTAATCATTTTTTTTAGATGTATTGCTTTTAAAATTATGTTTATTTATTCATTTTTGAAAAAAAAATTAGATAGCTGAAATCAAACGTTTTTTCGAAAAAAGAGTTAACTCCAACAGTTCGAGAAGTATTAAGGCAGATTTTTAAAGATGAACTACTTCAAAATTATAGTTATGTTGGCCAAAAAGGTAAAAAGGTGTTTAGCAGTTTAGCAACATGCACTATGATTATGGGTATGAACATGTATACATATGATATTTAATATTAGTAACTCCAATATAATCAAATAAATGTCCAACATTTATTATTTGCTTACATTTTAATACAAATGTGTACTAATATGCTTGAAAAGTAATGGTGTATTAATATTTAATTATTTGTAACTGCCAATAATTTAAACAGGGTAAATGTCCTGCAAAACAAAATAAATGTAAGAGTTGGTTAACAAATTGATAGTGAAATCTAACCAGCTATTGTGCTAGTACCATATTGAATGTCTGATACCATTAAGACTTATATGTCAACACCTTTAGAAGTTACTTAATACTTTTAAAAATAATTATTGCACTTTGTTTTACAGAATCTATCAAAAGTATGAAAGACCACAAGGAAGCCACTAATGATAAAATTGCAAGTTCAATAAAAACATATTTGTCTGGTGCGCCATCTCGGCTCGTGGAAAAAAAAAAAATAATGTAAAATATAAAATGTTATTATATTTACATTTATTATGTATAATTGAACCAAACTGTTAATTCAAATAAAAAGATTTGTTTTGTTTTATGTATTATAGTATCATTTTTTGTTTATATAATCATCTTTCTATAACCTAGTTAATATTAATTCATCTATCCATAATTTGAAAAAATTAAATAGAGTGACTGCAGTCTACACATTCAATTGTTGTGTATTTAATTAATATAAATTACAACAATTATTATTTTAAGAGTAATATTATAATTATATTATGGTAGAAATATTATTAAAATCTGATTGCGGTGGCCAAATAATATTACTCAAATGTTTTTGAAATATTAATGTTGCCTTTAAGATATGAAGAAATAATATTAATGTAATATTTGTCACTACAGTTGTAATATTTAAATAACGTTTTATTAATATGTTTTTGCTATCTGGGTGGTAGCTTTTGTTTTCTAGTTTCTTACATGAATGAAATCGTCTTTAAAAAAAAATGTAGCAATATTTTTTTTTATCAATGAAGCAAATGTATTCATATTTGGTTAATATTTTTATTTATGGTAGATCTAATGTCAGATTTTATTTAATTTAAAATTTTGTAATCTAACCCATATTTTGCATTTCTAATGCATAACAGATATTTGATTATGGAATATAAAATTAATTAAACTTGGTGTTTGACTATCATCCATACATTTTATACCAAATATTTTCTTCAAAATATTAATGATTGACAAATAAATGCGTATAGGTTATAACATGTTAACAATAAATCAAACTTTTTCATTTGTTGATTTAATCAAGTCAGTCAATGTACATAAAATAAAATAAAGTAGTTGTATTGATTTGAAAATTCAACTGTTGTTCACTTGTGCTCTTTTAATTATTATTAAACTAATGTAAATATTTTTTTTATCAATATTCATTTTTTTGTAGAATATACTTTTAGTAATAATTACAATTTTAAATAGAATATTTTATTATATACAGGGTGTCCTACAAAGATCTGACAAACGAAATATATTGTATCATTATTATTATTACGCTATAGTGTAATCGGTGTTCAATACTGATAAACCTACTTCCCATAATATGTCAAATATCAAAAATATATTTACAAAATGTTTACTATTACTAGTAGAAATAAGTTTTTGCTTATGAAATCATTATGTTTATTAGTTTTCATCGTACATTGTAGAGCAATATAAAATGTAGTCACAATTAGAGAATATATAAACACAATTGACTCTACTTAAATAGTTAAATGTATTAACAAAACAAATGGCATAGGAGTATAGGACGTTTCCGGGTTCTGAATACACAATGCAAGTCACGTTGCCGGCAGCCGGTTGCACGCACTTTTTTTGGGCTTGATAATATATCATAATCATACCGTGATAATATGGGTAGGTAAGGTTGGAAAAAATTTCGTCGTAAGTGTTGTCTACTGATAAGATATGTGAACAATTGACCAGACATGTATATGGTATCGCGGTTTCTGACAGTAGGTAAAGAACCGCATCTCCATATATTATAAAAAAAAAAAGTAAGGAGTATTACTATTATTTGATTATCGGTTTTATCGACGGACGACGGGGCGAGGTCGATAATATTATTTAATAGTATTTAATATGCTACCTGTTTTGAAATCCCAAATAAATATGGATCAAAATTTCAAAACTTTACAACGTAATAACTACAAAACCGATTGATGAAAATTAGAAATTCAAACGCTAAAACTTTTTTAAAAATGTTGTCTACAGATTTATGAAATTAAAAACATACGTTCCCATTTAAAAAACCAAATGCGATACTTGTTTTACATATAAGGGTTGAAGATAAAAATATTCTAAATATTGAAAAATGTAGTAAAATATGTACCTAAAAGTTTAGAAAAAAAAAATTCTCAAAATATTTATATTTTCCGAGAAAATGAGTGTCTTACGTTAGTTGGATCACCCTGTATATATATATATATATATATATATAATTTACATTTATATGGGGTCCTCAATACATTCGTGGTTTGTTAAGAGATCCCTGACAAAATTTTGTTGGGAATTCCTGGTGTAATTTATTGATATGTGGATAAAACTTGTTAAATTTTAGTACTACTCTCTTAAAAAAAAAATATGGAAAATATCTGATATTTAATCTCAAAATTATCATAACTAGTTTGACCACAAAAATTTAAAAAAAAAATATTTTTTTCCTTTAATTATCTACTAGTTAAATTAAAAAATTAAATTAAAAAATAATTTTAAAATAGCAAAGGGTAAAAAATTTGTAAATGAAATATTATTTCTGAAATTAAAATAACCGCTGAACTATACCAACTGAGCTTTAAATATCAATAAAAAACGTCCAGGTACAAATGCCGTATCTAAAGGCAATGATTTTAATTACAATAATAAAATACAAATACTAATACATTTAATAATAGAACATTTTAAAATTCCCAATACATACCATATCCATACTTATTAATATACAATTTTAATTATTTCTAACAGAGAAATAGTAAGCGGTCCGCCATATGGCATGACAACTGACAGAGCATTAGTCACCTATAAATAGTATTTACACACAGTATTTGATTACATTGTTAATGTAAAAATTATAAACAAAAAATAATTATAAATAAAATAGTACAAATTATTATTAAACAAAAACCAGTACAGTGGGGGGTCGGGGCATAATGGGGACGGAGATGTAACAGGGCTTTCACAGGTATTTTATTGTAACTGAAAGTGATTAAATCATTTTTAAATAAACGCTCAATGCAAATATGTGGATAGTGCGTTCAAACCAGTTATAGTGGTTTAGAAGATATCGTGGGTCCAACAATAATGTACTTAATAATACTAACAATATAATTATTGTTACTAATAATTATTGTTGACTGTTGATTCACACACACATAGCAATCTAGAAACTGACTACGGCCAATGTGTAAATTTATCCTATTTTTGGGGTTTTCCTTAATAAAAAAAAAATTTGACTTCAGATTTTTGAGTAAATTATATATGGTATGGTTCCATTTTAGATCTACCTTCGGTCTAATTTTTAGATCTCAATCTCTAAAATCTTGCTCGAAAAAAGTGAAATTAAGAAAAAAATTCTACCCCTTCTAGAGGAAAGGGTTTATGATATCAAAATTCATAAATATATATATATTTATCGGTCGCATTGGTCTCGGCGGAGTACTTATCAGCTCATTTTTTATTTACATCGAGAGCGAACAAACTGTTTTCATATATTCCGTGTTCCACTCTTGTAGTGTACGCACGGTATGTCGCTGAAACGGGGTGCTGTAACGGGCCGCATACAATTCTCGTCTCCGGACTCGGTAGCGGAAGTTTATTATTCAGCGGGGGAGGGGCGTCCTACACAAAAAATATAATGCAATTTTTTTACGGTTTCCACAAACCAACAATATACTTTACATACAACACACACGAGTCCAATCAGTCCGAATCGGTCCCCGCCGCCAGAAAGCTCGCTACATTTTTGGCAGCTTCCCACTTCTGAACTTCAGAAAGTGAAGTGACCCACGCAGACTTCTTCACTTTAGCGGCCACTTTAATTAATTCAGGGACTCCAAATTCACCAGAGGCGTAGCCGCTCGTCCGAGCCGTATTCGCCAAGACTTTTATTCGCGCCGCACGCTGATCGCGATTCACCAAATCGACGATTTTGGCGTAGGCCGTCGCTGTTAGTAGAATAATTCACCTCTTCAAGATCGCCATCGGCGCTAAGTCTGCGTTGAAATTCGGCGAGCGAACACGGAGCCGGTCCATCAGCCGTACAATCGAACAACTCGGCGTACCTGTACGTGTGACTATGTTAAAATATTTTAGGACAAACCATAATATTATAAAGCGAAACGATGTTTTATCGCGTTACACTCACCTTCCGGCCAAATACTCGCCCAACAACGCAGAGCTTTCTACATGGCAAACCGCCCTCTGCTGCCTGACGGCTTCTTCGGCGGTCGTTATAGTATAAAACGATTTGGCAGTCGACAACGAGTGTTGAAGAGCGGCGGCTACTTGCTCTTGCACCCCTGCGTGATGTTTCCCTGCGGCAGTCCAAAATTGACTTCGGGCAATATTTATCCGGACCTTAGTCATAATAGATAACTGAAAATTGTTACGTTTGATATAATTTTACAAGTATTTTTGAGCCGACCGCGACATACTCCTCCCCTCCCAGTCCGGACGGTCTCTTTACGTCAGGTCAATGTAGATGGTTTGAGCGGTGTGACCCGGTGTCGGCGGGCCGCTGGGTTGAACAACCGCGGTTGCCCGCTGGACGTTCTGCAACTGGTGGCGTGAAGCACGTACTGCTTCCCAGTTCACCGGCCTCTCCGGTCCCAGTAGCTCCTCCAGCTCCTGGATGGCATCCATGGCTGAAATGTCCGTGGGGTCTTGACAGACCACCGCAGCAGACGACCCTACGGGCACGTAGGTCAGCGCTTCGTAAGTGGTTCTGGGGAAATGGTTTGGGGAAGCAGCGGGGGTATGGACACTTTCCGGTTCCTCCGGTGCTTCCACTGTCGTACTCAAAGTGCTGGCCTGTGAAGTTCCAGGTTGGTGGTCGCTTCTTTCCTGCCTGGTCTCCGTCCTTCCTTGGCTGAGGGCATCGGTGAGGGGGGGCGACGTTCTCCTCGCCGTGAATTTCCCTGCCGAGTCCCTCACATTATGGGCGGCGCGTCGAGTCTAGCGGTTGTTGTTGGTTAGAGTTCCCGCTGTCCAACGGCCGTCCCGTCCTCGCCCATATACTCCGGGTCGTCTTTGGGACTTCTCCCGGTGGCGTCCCGAAACTGGAGCTGGGTGTTGGGGGCGCGTTGGAGCAGGGTCCATTTCCCGCAGTCCTGACTGACGATCTGGGGCCTGATGATGGATGGGAACCGTGGTTGCAGGTTGGGCCAGGCTTCCAGCGGGCAGTAAGGTGAGTGGAGCACCTGCCCGATTTGCCCGCTCCCACTCGTACCGCGAAGCCAAAGGCAGGCCGCTGTGGCGGTCTTCCCAGCCCTGCCTGTACAAGTCGTAGCCCCCTCTGCGGGAACCTTGGGGACCCTGAATTAATCCAAGGGCTTCCTCCATCAGCTGCGACGCCCGCCGCAAGGTGGTCCTCGGAGGGCGGTACTCCCTCCGCCACTGGGTATTTGGCCGCCGTCCCCGCTCTTCCCGGTTTCCGGCCTAGCGGTACTCACCCTAATGCGTGCCATCTGAAACGGTACAGATATCACATGAGGCCTTAATTTGAATTTCCCCGCCGAGCGGGCTTCAATTGTGAGGTGTGTATTTTTACAGGGTTTTTCGTACGGGTTCCTCTCTAATACTCCCGCTCCTAACGAAGTCCCTAGATGTACCGGCCCTATCCATTTTGCGGCAAATCCGGCGTGAAACCCCTTCGCAGCGTTGGACGTGCACGATAGTACACCCAGTCCCCGATGTTAAAACGGGATATGTACTCTGGGTTTCCCGAAGGTTGAGAGGTGGTTTTACCGGATAGTTGACATCCGACCCAATCCCCGGGTGCTTTAGCCTCCCTGCCCATGACCTATACGGATGGGGGATAACCGGTACGTCCGTTCCGTCGATTGCGCAGCGTGAACACAATAGCTGGCAGCTGTAAGTCCCAGGAACGGTGACTTTTATCCCGTAGAAGTAACCGGCTTACCTCCGTTTCACCTGGGTAGAATTCGTTCGTTTGTTTTTTTTTCTTGGGTCCGTTATCCCGTTAAAAAAAAATTGTATTTAACAATTTTTTGGGGAACTTGGTTTTCGTTACCCAGTTCACCCTTTTCTTACTATTTGTGTGGTACTACAGTTTTCGTCAAAGTGCGTAAGTCTGCCACTGGTGGGTCTTACTACACTCTAATACCACGAGAGACAAAAAAAGTAGTTACTACCCAAATGTAATAGTAATACCCTAATCAACAAGCGCGCAAATCTGCAGCGGATGGGTCTTACTACACTAGGTTACCAGCAATAGGGGTATGTCACTTAAGTACAAAAAGTCCACTTAGTACATGTTTTGCTTTTCTAAATATGTTATCAATAGTTAATTTACATTTCTCAGAAATACAAACCTCGACAGCAAAATAAATAATTAGTATTAAAATTAAAAATACTATATATATTTATGAATATATTTAAAATTTAATATAAATATTACATTTAAAACTTGATATTAAAATTATAATATCGTAAACACATTTTAGAAGTTGGTCTTTGATTTCGAGGCTTATTATTTAAATGAAAAAAAAATATATATATATTTCTAAACATTAGTACAACTATTAGAACAGATTTTAGTTAATACCCGAATACCTGGGAGGGGGGGTGAATACCATAAACAGTAAATAAATTGTAAATAAATGGCTTTGTTTAATTGTTTAAGGTACAAATATACTTGGTTAGAGTACAGTTTAGAAAAAAACAAGCTGCTTATACAATTATTGCAAAAAACCGTATTGGACAAAATATACTGTTTAACCGACGGGTAATTTAAATATCCTTAAATATAAGTAAATATTACTTATATTTTCCAATATAAGTAATAATAATAGAAATTTAATATGGTTTTAATATATTTTATAACGTAATTTTGTCCTTACCGCTTAAACGTATGATTTGAATACAGGTCAATTGCGTGGACAGACTGCGAGATATTAGCTGTTATTGCAAAGAAAAAATATTCTCTTACAAAATGTTAAATTTGTATAAAACACGAGTTATTCATAAAAAAGTTGTATTATTTGAGGTTTAAATTTTTTATGAAATAAATTACAATTTTGAACATTACTCAGGGATAAAAGTGGGATGAGTATGTTACACAATCACTGCTGACCGTAATAACCTTTATTAGCTGTTATTGCAAAGAAAAATGCTGTTATTGCATAGTCTCTCACTAATATAATACTAATTTTTAATTTTGAAAACTGAAGACGCTGTTAGGACTTCAAGGTACCAAACAATTACCAATTCAATTTAAGTTACGACTCACATAACGTATAATGTATAAAAGAAATTTTCTTGTATAATATAACTATTATAATATTATAATTTGCACATTATAATAATCAAATTATTAAAGAAAACAACTTTACACTTAACCTTTGCCGCGTTAGGTTTATGGCAAATACAGTAGTACTGCCAAAATTGATTCAGCGTGTTTTTCTAGTATTACTTTACATTGCCATTTCTTCATAAGCTGACACAAATTAATCACATTTGTCACATCAATATCTGTGTTATTTCCGTCAAGGTACTATACATATTGGAAATTGTGGGTACTACGGTAAGATGCGCGGATAGAATATTTATAATATGTCCGAATATAATATATGATGCTAGCTAACACGATACCAATCATGTTTGAAACAGAACGATACCTATGATGGGTTACCAAAGAGGAAATGGTACAGACCACGATTTAGGACTACGTCGTTGATTGTTAATTTATCGTTGTTTTTGTTTTCCTACGCTGACTATAGCTTAACCTACCCTAACCGAACTTTAGTTAGTAGTTACCCTTGGACTTTCTACGTCATAAATCGTTATTTTTGGCGGTTCGTTTGTTTTCTACCGACACCGTCTATAACCGACCCCGTTTAGACGAAACGTCGAGAACCGAACCGCTTTGCAATGTCGTTACGCAACTAACTACCCACCGGGGCACGCCTAAAATTAATTCATAAACGTCTTCATAAAATACAGCGATTTAACATAATGTAAAAATAACATATTTGTTTATGCATGCAAATAAAACCTTAAAAAAAAAACACGAAGGTCTAGAAAAAAAAATACTTGGATCAGGAAACATTTCAACACCACTTGTTGAAACGTCGTCAATTAATTACTTTTCAAAAACTCGAATGTTAATTATCCGATGTTTTATTACGTAATTCCAATTGTTTTTATTAGAATAGGTAGAGTACATAATACTGTCATGCAACGACTGGGAACATCTCATGGGCATCCTACGTGACGTCTTACAAGCGCTATAACGGGCCAACTTAACTCTCAAACCATCCAAGTGTGTGTTCGGAGCTACTGAATTACGGTATTTGAGATTCAGAATTTCAAAGGGCCAATTGCGTCCAGGAGATAAGGTGCGAGCTATCAGTGAGTATCCAGTGCCTGAGGATGTACATGCGGTTCGTCGGTTTCTCGGTCTGACCAGATTCTTCAGGCGGTTCATTCCCCGATATGCTGAAGTGGCGGAGCCTCTTACGCGGCTGACAAAACAACATTGTATGTTTGACTGGGCCACTGCCCAAGAGCTAGCGTTTAATGAGCTAAAAGGGCAGCTAGTTAACAAGCCGGTATTGCAACTATACGACCCTCGGGCACCGGTGACACAGTTGCATACCGATGCAAGCAGTAGAGCTTTAGCCGGAATGTTACTGCAAGGGAAAACGGAAAAAGAACTGAACCTGGTGTATTATGTCAGTAAGCGGACAACTGAAGCCCAGCAGATGTATCATTCCTCAAAACTAGAACTACTTGCCATTACATGGAGTTTGGAAAGATCACGACCGTTTCTAATCGGAGTTTTACGGTAGTCACAGACTGTCAGGCACTAGTGTACTTGAACATACACCGTACTACCAAGCCACAGATTGCTCGATGGTTCGATGTGGTACAAGAGTATGACATGGATGTCAAGTACAGGCCAAGTGAAAGAATGGCTCATGTCGACGCGCTGAGTAGAGCCCCGTCTAACGAAGCGGTGACGGACGTCGAGGAAACAATCAACCAACGCTACGATGTCTACACGTTTTTGACGCTTGAAGAACGCGTAAGCCCAGATAGCAAATTTGTAATCATAATATTAAGAGTTTTCTATTAAATAATAATATATTTTAACTCTAATTCTATGTATATATTTTTTTTGAATAATAATATTATTTCCTTAAACCAAAATTAAATTTAATTAAACCTAACCTTATAATACTAAATATTTTAGACAAAATAAAATCATACTTCCATTTAAAATTAAACATTAAAAATAAATTCCTATGAGGCTTTTTCGTCATTTTCCAAATAAAACCAGACAAGCAAAATATAAAAAGTTTTGAAAACCATACCTTTTTTTTCTAGGTATAAAATTATGAAGAAGAATAAAAATATATAAAATATTCCTATTTATATTAATATCTATAAACTAATAAATAGATGTTTTAAGTGTAAAATTTAATAAAGAAGTGGAACGTAAAATTTAATTAAATATATACTACATTAAAATTATTGCTAGCAAAAATTACTGAAAAAAAGTTCCCTTTTATTTTTTTATGGCAAAAAAAAATTCTTGAGCAAAGTTATTTTTATATTTAAAAGATAATCACCGAAATTTATTTTAGAAAAAGAAAAAAAAAATATGCTAAAATTTAAACACACTTTAAAAAATTGTAGAAATTGTGTTTAACGGAATCTGAAAAGTATTTATAATACAGTCCTAATTATTTTTCTCTTCAATAATTATAAATATGTTAATTAATTGTTTTAATACTAGCTCTTAATGTATCAATAATTAAATATTAAGTATAAAATTATTGTGTATTAAACTAATCTTAACACTAAATTATCGCTAACAAAACCATAACTGAATCTAGAAAATATTATTCTCTTACCTTTTCCCTAGAGAAAACTTGTTTTCTCCAAAAACAAAACACACAAATTATTGGAGAAAAATTCAAACAATCCAAAAGAAACCACGGAGAAAAAAAAACACATCGCAAATTGAAATACACCAGAAATCGTCTGAGTAATAGTTCAAAAACACACGCAAATATAACTGTAGACAATTTCCGCAAAAAACAGAAAAACATGGGAAAAATTTCCCATTAAAATTCGCTCAAAAATCTTGGAGAAAAAATATCTCCTAAACTTGAAATCATCCCGCACTCTAGGGGTAAATTAAAAAAAAAAAACACAAAAACACTTGAAGAAAAAACTGGCACTAACCACCTTATGTAGCGACAGGAAATCTCAGTGCTCGTGGGTTCGAGTCACGAGTTGGTCGCCACTATGTCGTATACGATATTAACTCGATACGCTCAATTTTTGACACTACCTTTTAAAAATAGTTGTACTAGGATTCTTGAAAGTTAATCAAAACCAGTGCCCAGAACACCTAAACCTTTCGAAACTATACTTTAGCTAGACGAACTAACTCACACTAAGTAATAATTAACCAGAACACCTTATACGGTTTTAA